ACCCAAGAGCATGCATTTTTGCTTACCTTTTTGCTTACCTTTCCTGATTAAGAGTGAAAACCAAACTTAGATTGGTAGACAACTGAACTCAGTACAACGGAAGTAAAAGCATGAACTGAGAATTTACAAGTTCCTAGCAAGTGGGCCCAGGTCAGGACTTGAAGCGTGAGTTAGCATTCCTCAAGCAGCAAAGAACTGGGAAGGAGAGAGAGACTTCTAGAAAAAGTAACCAGTGGGAACAAAGCCTGGCAAGCACATGGATGTTGATCTGAATTTGGAAGTGAAATAATGGATGTTCTACAACCTGAGTCATTCTGAACGGAATTCACAGAGTTCACTCTTGGGTGATCTCGAACACTTCCTAGGTGATCTCATGATATCCTCATGTAGTGAGTTAAGGTTTTGCTTAACAGAGTTAAGTTTTCTCATTAAGATTTCTCTATTCCTCCTCTCTGTCTTCAGTATGTATTATGGTGAAGGGACCACACTTAGAGAAAATGAACTCAGGGAAAATTTCAGGGAAGCATTCTTCATCTTTGCCGAGAACTCCAGGACAAATCTGTTAAGAAAACCCCCAAGGGGAGATGTATCGGAGGTTGTAAATTGAAATGAGTTACAATGCCCTCCTTTACTTTCAAAACAAGTATTGGGCTTTCACTGACCTAACCACTTTTTTCTGGAGTCTTGCCTTAGGCTGAAAGCCATGGGAGATTCTCCACTAGGCAATCTCCTTTAAGAATTATGTCTGCTCTTTAAAATATGGTTTCACTCATATGAGAAATATAAGAACCAGTGCAGAGGATCATAGGGGAAGGGAGGGAAAATGGAATGGGAAGAAATCAGAGAGGGAGACAAACCATGAGAGACTCTTAACTATGGGAAACAAACTGAGGGTTGCCGGGGAGGGGGGCATATTTTCTTTTTTCTATTTTGTATTTAAATTCAGTTAATTAGCATATAGTGTATTATTAGTTTCAGAGGTAGAGTTCAGTGATTCATCATTTGCACATAACACCCAGTGCTCATCACATCACGTGCCCTCCTTGATGCCCATCACCCGGTTACTCATCCCCCCACCCCCCCCCCTCCACCAAACCTCAGTTTGTTTAGTATGATTAAGAGTCTCTTACGGTTTGTTTCCCTCTCTGATTTCATCTTGCTTTATTTTACCCTCCCTTCCCCTATGCTCCTCTGTTTTGTTTCTTAAATTCCACATATGAGTAAAATCATATGATTATTGTCTTTCTCTGATTGACTTATTTTGCTTAGCCTAATACCTTCTAGTTCCATCCTGTATAATCCAAATCTTTAACTACATTGTTTCTTGTTACTAAAATTGGGGTTCATCGGGACTTTGTTTCTTACTGATTTCCTCACTTTTAACTTTATGGTTAGTCAAAATGAATTTTTACGAACTTCCGAATAGCTCCATTGTCTTCTTCCGTTTGACTGTTACTATACGAATTCAAGCCCCCTTATCCTTTACCTTGACCTTTTGAAGTGTCTTCCTACCTGGCTTCCAGTCTCCTGAAAAATTTGCCAGTTTTCCTTGTTGTCAGTGTTACCTTCCATAAGCATGATGCTCGATGGCCTGTCAAGACCAGGCATGGGAAGTTCACAAGACACACCAGCTGCTGCTTCTCCCCTCGGTCCCTCTTCCTTTGAGCACTGCTTACATCGCGAGTTAATTCTGAGTTCATTTTTTGGTTACTTACTTCCATTTTGCTACTGAGCTTGCTTTGCCTGGTATTATAGTTGCTTCTGTAGCAATCTTTTCCTGCCCCAGACCACAAGCTCTTTGAAGGCAGAGGGAACCCTCCCTCCGACTTTGAACCCCCAAACACCTGCAGCGTCTAGTATGATGGGTCATATATATGGCCGTGCAGGCTTTGGACAGCACAATCCGGGGGTGGCTATTCTGAGATGGCGGTGAATGGTTCCCCAGGAGTCCCGTAAAGAGATGGCCGTGTTTAGCACAGTCACACACACAGAGCAGATTCTCCATGGGTGCTCAATTCAGTTGAATCTAAATTGAGATTCAGCCATGAAAAGTGTTTCTGCAGCACTAAAATCTCTCACCTTCTTTTTTTTTTTTTAAAGATTTTATTTATTCATCTGAGAGAGAGAGAATGAGAGATAGAGAGCACGAGAGGGAAGAGGGTCAGAGGGAGAAGCAGACTCCCTGCTGAGCAGGAAGCCCGATGTGGGACTTGATCCCGGGACTCCAGGATCATGACCTGGGCCGAAGGCAGTCGCTTAACCAACTGAGCCACCCAGGCGCCCAATCTCTCACCTTCTAACCTGGACTTACACCCTGATCTTAAATGGAAGCAGACAATCTGGGGAACAGATGCTGAGGACAATATCTCCGCCCAGTTCAGCAAGCCTTGGAACAACAGCAGGGTCTGTTAACAATCTGCCCAAGATTTAGGGCACATCCCCAGCCTTTGGCTCCTCAGAACAAAGGGCTTCCCTGCTGCTGTACTGTGTAGTGGTTATCAGTCCTGTGGATGCACGGCACCATTTTCTGGCTCCCAGGACTGCCTATGATTGACAACGTGAAGCTAAGAATTTCAGCAGAAATATGTTTCACTGGCTTATTCTGAAGGCTGACAGGCAAGATACGAACTAATTGGTTATATTTTCTGATGGGTACTCTCTTCCTTCAAAATAAAGAATAAATGCTGTGAATTGACTCCCTGGAATGTTCTAACTGGAACCTTTTCCTGTGGGCATGAGCCACTTCTGGTTTATCTTCATTGAGTCCCTATTTCCTTTTGCCGTGGTGCGTCACGTGTAACTGGAAGACAAAATCTTGCCTTTGAGTGTTTGGTGGGGTTTGTGTTACATGGCTAGCCCCACCCTTAGAGCTGCCATCAAGAGAAAATGATGAGTTTGAACCTAGGAAAGTTGAACAAATAATGGGGTTCCATTGGCTTTTTTTGGAGATGCTGCTTCTGTATGAAGAGGAGTCCTGAACAAGGCAATAGCTAAGCTTTACTGAGCAAATACAAGGGCTGGCTGCCATTGGTCATACAGCACAAAGGGAAGTGTCTTGCACCACTATGGGGTGTCAGACTAGGAGAAACGTCCGTAATGAGCTGCCCAAGGATTTGCTCAAGAGGGAAACACAGGGGGCAGATGATCAACTTAGGAATGCATACTAACTGTAAAGTTTCCTGTGGGAAAAATAAGCAAATATTTAAAACATCAGAAAGAAAATGCCCTAGGGAATGTCAGCCTCTCTTAAATGCAGTATGTCTTGGCGTAGGTACAAGAAGGGGGCCAGAGTTATTACTACCCCCACACAGGGTAAATGTGGCCCAAAAGGTCAACTCAGGCAGCCAATCACATCCAAACTCACTCATGGGGAGAACAAAAGTGATGATGTTGCTGATTTGTATCTTTAAAAATCTTGAAAACAATTTTAGTTTACTAGTATTTAAATTTGGAGCAAGAATAAGAAGGAAGGAGGAAGGCAAGAAGCTAGGGCTAAGAAGATTCTTCTGCTGCCTCCAGTGTGGGAAAGGGCAACAATCCAAAGGAAAACAGCGGGGGCCACGATGTGTATCTGGGGGGTTCCGAGGGCCGCTCAGTACCAGCCGAGCTTGAGGAACCCGGAGTGCAGAGGCTGCAGGAAATCCTGAACTTTGCTCGTGTTAACTCTGGACTGCATCCCAGGCCTGGGAAACCCTAGTTCCCAGGCCCACGCCGCAGAGACTTGTTGGCTCCCTGGCGAATGAGGAAGGTGGAGAAGGGGTGTATCCACTTCAGGCTGTAGGAACCAAATGTTCATCCAGCCCCCTGTGGAGCTGCGGGACCAAGTCATCCTCAGTGCTGCTGAAACGTGCCCCCCAGACCACCACGGAGGCTCGATAACCCTTCTCTAATCTCACCACTGCCCCTCAGTTCACATGGTACCTGGGGTTCTTGGCTTGGAGAGTAGATCACAGCGCTCCTTTAGCTCCTTCACACCTCTGAGAGATGGCAGTAGAGGTTTTGCTCTGGCCAGCACTTTGTTCAGGGCAGGAGAGATGGTGGCTAGGTGTCAATGCTAAGTTCTCAGTCTCGGTACCATGCCCCTGGAGTGGTTTTGCGAATGATCCAAGCTGCTTGGCCAAACCAGTTAAGTGTGTGGGAAACTTAATTTGTCATGATTCTCAGTGTGTTCAGTGTATGCCTCAAACTCAAGTCCTGACCCCAGGCCCGGCTTTCTTGCAGAGTTTTGCGCCACTGGGTCGGCCTTGGCAAGTGCAAAGGAGTATTTTCATGTGGGACCACTGAGTGCTCTGATCAGAATTTCTGAAGCCCTGGGTCCTTCTGTCTGTTATGAAAACGCCCAGGGGAGTAAGGGAGGGTGAGAGGATCGTTGCCTGGCTCACACGTTTCTGGACCTGCTGAGAAAATGTCGATAGCCGTTTGGCCAGCCCGTCTCCAAGTGGCCAGCATCAGTCACCTTCTGTGTGCGGTCTCTTGCGTTTATGGGCGGACCACGTCACCACCTCCACTTGGCCCTGTGTAATATAGCAAAGGTGCACACAAGAAGGCAGGGGATGGATTGCTACCAGCACAGTGCTAACCATTTCAAGCCCCAGCAAAGCTGAGTTTTCAATAAATGACTTCTTTTCCTTTCCTCCCTGAGGTGAGGGTCAAATAGCTAACGACTTTTCTAGTGCCTTGGCAATGTTTCTTCTGATAATGTTGAATGTTAAGGAAAGAGCTCATTTTCCCACCAGTTTCCCACCGTTTTCCCCCATCAGTTTTCAGGTATCAATAGATATTTCAAACGCCTCAAGAGAGATTCTGCTCGAAGATCCCCCTCCCCCTGCCCTGCTCAGCTTAGTGCTCTCTCTCACCTTTCCTTCCTTCATTTTCTCTATAGAACTTAGCATTATCTGGCCAACTACATGTTAACATAAACAAAAACTTTTGCCTCCCTTTCTCTCTTACACACACACACACACACACACACACAACCGTAATGTTCATGAGGGCAAGAATTTTATTTCATTTTTGTCTGTTTTGTTCACTGCCACATCTCCTGTACCCAGAAGAATGCTTATCACAGAATAGCCGCTTAATAAATAATTGTTGAACGAATGAAAGTCTTGGAAGATAGTGTTTCCTCTGCAGTGAAAATGTTTACCTTCTCTCTCAGCCTGCACACCTGGAAGCCAGGTCACCTGCCTTGCAGTGAGGTCTCACCCTTCACAGAGCAAAGTCTGAGAGAGGCCCGGCAAATAGCTCAGGGACACAGTGAAGCCTGAGGCTCAGAAGCACTGAGAGACCTTTGGGCAACTCTGGGGTCAGTCTTCATCTACCAAATCAATATCCCGGATCTGGGAAATAGATGTGGAGAACAGTGTGATATGAAATTTCATGTTCGCCAGGCACAAATGCCAAGTGCCTTTCCTTCTTCTCTTCCTCGGACAGTTCAGATCAGGATTTTCAGCTAAGTGAAGGAGAAAGATAAAGAACAAAATCCCAAACAAAGCCAGTTATGGACAAACACTGTACAATTCCACAGTAAGTAAACATTTTGTGTTTCTTTAAGGGGAAATTTTTTGCAGAACGATGGTGTTGGGTCTAAGTCCTTCCCTAGGTGGATATATGCTTTGCACACAAACATATGGTTTCTGTCACAACTAGTCAACTCTGCTGTTGTAGCATGAAAGCAAATGATATATATGTTAATGAATGACCATGGCAGCACCCCAAAAAAACTTTATTTACAAAAATGGACATAGGCTGGATGGGACTCTTAGGCTGTCGTTTGCTGGGTCCTGCTCACTGCATTGTTGCCATATAGTCAGATCCTAGAGATGTGATTCAGATAAAACTATTGTTTTGGTTTCAAATTCCCATGCCGTTAGTATACAAAGATTTAGGAAAGTACGGGTTGGTCAAAGACGACCGACTCCCAGTTTTAAGATGGATAAGTTCTGGGGATCTACTGTATAGCATGGTGATTATAGTTAATAACACTGTAGTATGTACTTGAACATTGTTAAGAGAGTAGATCTTAAAAATGTTCTCACCACAAAAATGACATGGTAGTCATGTGAGATGATGAAGGTGTTAGCCAAGGCTATGGTGGCGATCGTTTTTGCGACATATAAGAATATCAAGTCAACACGTTGCACACTTTAACCTTACACAATATCATATGTCAATTACATGGCACTAAACGCTGAAATAAAATCAAGAAAATTAAATATTTGTTTTCAGAGTTTATAGGTATTGTCTGTGGGAAGGTCAGTCTACTAAAAGTTACTAAAACATCTTTTAAAAAAGAAAAGAAAGTACAGGCTTATAAAGGCACTCACTGTTTATTTACAGCTTTTCAGCAGGCATTTCTGTCAGGATGAAGGATTCAGGTTATACTGCAACTTCGTCTCTGTGACCGTAACTGTCACATCTATGGGATTGTCCCTGGGTCCCAGTGGAGATGGCTTCATTCTGTCTCCAGATGTTTCCTACACACCATTTAGTGCAATAACCAGGGAACAAAATGACCTCCTGGCCCCTAACCACAGGTTCTCTTTATACCTGGAGGCTATAAGGCTATCTTATGACCCCCAGCTTGCCCTGCTTATGGCATAAAGAGAACAAGACTATCTTGTGTTGGTTCTTTGTTCAGGGGTCATTGTTCTGACATCCCCATCGCCCATGCTCCATCTCTTTCCCACTGGTGTGAGCTCTCCCTTAGCTTCAATCTATTAGTAGTCTAGCTGACTCCTGTGTTGGCTATTTGTCTCCAAATATCCCTCTCCAGATCCACTCTCCCTCTTCTCCCACTGTTCTCCACCCTGGAAGCCTGACTGTTCTGGACTACATCAAAGCCATCTCAATCTTTCTTGCTCACTTTTGGGTCCAGCCAAAAAGGATTCCTAACAAGAGATCTGGGGAGGGAAAGAGAGTGAGGATGGGGTATTTATTCCCCCAATTCTCTCCCTGTAAGGTCACCTTGGGAGGACCCCATTTCTTGATTGAAGATGGATGCTCCTCTCAAAACAACCAAGAGCCTTGAACCTTCTGGGTGCTGTAGCCACCCCCCACCCCCATCTCTGCCCCAGGTCTAGGGGCCAGCACAGGGCTACTGCTACTAGTGCAGGTACCTACCCTCTCCCTACGCTTCCCCTTCACTCCACCCACAGCTTTGTACCTTATCACTTTATAAATAAATCTTCCTGGACGGTGGTACCATCTGTTCCTGTGCAGACACTGATTGATGAAACAGATGTGGACTGTTGACTGCACCGTTACCGTGCCCTCTGGCAGAGAGCCCAGAGTCTTGGAGAGACTTCTAGAAGTTTCTTACAAAAGCATCTCTAATTGTTAAGTCATCCAAACGTTGAATCCCCCTGAATACAGTGTTCTCCCGACAAGAGTAGACACGCATAAGCCTCAAATAGATGTCATGTTGATCTGCAGGGTGTGACACATGGTGGCCAGTCTACAGGGCCCTTAGTATGACCATAAACCAAACAGTCCCAGGAGTTCCCACTCCTGAGGCAGAACTCACATAGCCTTAGCAACTCAACACTACTGAATCTCAAGCCAAGCACAGTTCTCAAGCAGCTTTGTAGATCCCAAAGGAGAAGGTAGACCCTAGAACAGTTTCTAGAAACAACTTGCAGAGTTTAGTTTAGCTGGAAGATCTCACCATCAAGGGCCCCTTAAAGAAGTGATTTGGGTGGTGGTTAAGGACAGATTCTGGAGCCAGCTGTATGTTCCATCCCAGCTTTGTGTGATCCCAGCTTTGTGACCTTCAGAACATACCAGTGATATGACCTTAAGCAAAATGGCTTCACTGTCATCAGTCTGTTTCCTCATTTCTGAAATAGGGGGGCTGCTGTGAGAATTTAACTGGTTAATATTTGTAAAATATTTAGAACAGTACCTAATACATAGTTAAGTACAATAGACATTAACTGTTACTGTTATTGAAGTAGAAACTTCCCTTACCATCATTTGTGTTGAAATCCGCTTGGTTAGGCTTGGAAGACTTCCTTGAGAGGTCTTCCAAGCCTAACCAAGCGGATTTGGTTGGTTAGGCTTTGGTACACCCCCCAGGTGTACCCTCTTTTTTTTTTTTTTTAATTAAAGGACCACTAGGTCCTTTAAGGCACAATGACCTGGTGTGCTCTGCAGAAATTTTCATATTGGGTCATAATTTCCTGGTTTAATTCAACTCTCAGTCAGCAAAGGTAGAACATGCCCATCCTTACTCTGTGTCTTACGCTAGAGAAGGCAGCCGTGAACAAGAAAGGCCCAGTGCTGACCTTCATGAGAGTGAAAAAACACAGCTAGGGCTGGGAGTCAAATGTCTTCACAACTACATTTAATTTAAAACAAGCCACTTGAGAAAATTCAGCTGTAAGCTTGGCCTTCTCTCATCAACCTGAGCTGCAATCAAGCTGTGACTAACTCAGACTTTTCCCATCAAGACCCTTATGTTCTCTCTGTAGATTCCCTTGATACAGGAGTAAATAGACTATCACAGGACCTTAGCACCTCTACTCTGGAAGAGTCTTCTAGAAGCATGAATGGGTTTTCAGTTTAAAGTGCTTAAAATCAGGAGAAAAAGACTTTTGATTACTTTTTCTATGATGAACATATACTGGTTTTCTTTGGAGAACTAAAGATTTTTCAATTAAAAAAAGTTTACAGTTGCAATAGAGAGTGTCCTTCTTAAAGTCTCGGAAAGCACATCAGAAATAAGACACATCACAAGGAGACACTAATCACACTCAAATAATGTATCTAAAAACAAGTGGGAAAATTCTTTTTTTTAAGATTTTATTTATTTACTTATTTGAGAGAGAGAAAGAGAGAGAGAGAGCACGAGAGGGGGGAGGGTCCAAGGGAGAAGCAGACTCTCTGCTGAGCAGGGAGCTCGATGCGGGACTCCATCCCGGGACTCCAGGATCATGACCTGAGCGGAAGGCAGTCGCTTAACCAACTGAGCCACCCAGGCGCCCAAGTGGGAAAATTCTGAAGTGTTCATGCTTTCTTTTTTATTTTTTTACATTTAAAAAATTTTTTATTTTAATTTTATTTTTTCCAGTTATTTTATTTATTTATTTTTATTTTATTATGTTATGTTAGTCACCATACAGTACATCATTAGTTTTTGATGTGGTGATCCACGATCCATTGTTTTCGTATACCACCCAGTGCTCCATGCAGTACCTGCCCTCCTTAATACCCATCACCGGGCTAACCCATCCCCCCACCCGGGTCCCCTCTAAAACCCTGTTTGTTTCTCAGAGTCCATCGTCTCTCATGGTTCATCTCTTCCTCCGATTTCCCCCCCTTCATTTTTCCCTGCCTTCTCCTAATGTCCTCCACACTCTTCCTTATGTTCCACAAATAAGTGAAACCATATGATAATTGACTTTCTCTGCTTGACTTATTTCACTTAGCATCATCTCCTCCAGTCCCATCCATGCTGATGTAAAAGTTGGGTATTCATCCTTTCTGATGGCTGAGTCATATTCCATTGTATCTATGGACCGCATCTTCTTTATCCATTCGTCTGTTGAAGGGCATCTCGGCTCTTTCCACAGTTTGGCTATTGCGGACATTGCTGCTATGAACACTGGGGTGCATATGGCCCTTCTTTTCACGACATCTGTGTCTTTGGGGTAAATACCCAGGAGTGCATTTGCTGGGTCATATGCAATTTTTTGAGGCACCTCCACACTGTTTTCCAAAGTGGCTGTACCAACTTGCATTCCCACCAACCGTGTAAGAGGGTTCCCCTTTCTCCACAACCTCTCCAACATTTGTTGTTTCTTTCCCTGTCCATTTTTGCCATTCTAACTGGTATAAGGTGGTATCTCAGTGTGGCTTTGATTTGAATTTCCCTGATGGCTAATGATGGTGAACATTTTTTTCATGTGTCTGTCAGCCATTTGTATGTCTTCTTCAGAGAAGTGTCTTTTCATGTCTTCTGCCCATTTTTTGACTTGATTATTTGTTTTTTGGGTGTTGAGTTTGAGAAGTTCTTTATAGATCTTGGATACCAGCCCTTTCTGTTCATGCTTTCTTTTTCAACTTTGAGAACCGAGAGCCCCAGGATGAATGGGTAGACAGTTGAAGGTCATTCGGGCAGGCGCAGGTAAGAAGTAAGAACATGTAGAAGCGAGCTGAAGATGCCAACAAAACTACTTTGACCATAAACCAAACCATAAGATCTTCAAAAAAATGCATTTAAAATAGTACAACAACATTTCTTCACTTGCTTGGTTGTAGAAAGTTGAAGTCAACACTTAAAATCTAACTAAACTCATCCATCCCCCTTCCCCTCTTGTTCTCTAGCAGGAGAGAAGGTCCCTGCTTCTACCAAAAGGATCAATGGAGGGTAATGCTTGGTTTACCTGGATCTCCCAGATCAGCCTTTTTTTTCTGTCTGAGGTCTGAAAAGCAGAGACTCTATTCTACTTAATCTTGATGTCCAGAGAGCCATGCATAATGTCTTTACATAGTCATTGCCGAATAAACTGTGATGGAGAAATGGGTGGATGAACGAGTGAAGATGATAAAATTTGGGATGAAGGAGGCATAAACTTCCAGTTGCAAAACAGGTAAGATACAGAGGTGAAAAGTACAGCATAGGGAATAGAGTCAATAATATTATAATAATGTTGTAAGGTGACTACACTTATTACGGTGAACATTGAGTAATGTAGAGAATTGTCAAATGACTATGTTGAACATCTGAAACTAATATAACAATGTATGTCAACTATACTTCAATAATAAAAATCTGAAAGACACTGATGTATGCAATATGTTACAGGAATTTAGAGAAAAAGCTCAAAATTTCTTTAATTTTCATTTAAAAAATTTGGGATTAAGGAAAGGAGTTAAGACAACTAGGAGAATGCTTTCACTATTATTTGCAATAAAGGGTATAAGAAAAGGAACACATTTTCTGTACCAAAATGAGCTCTGTTTAGGACATAAAGCATTTGTGGCTCAGGGGAACGTCTATGAGTCTTGGGCAGTTGTAAACTTCTGGGCTCATGGATAAAACTGAGGGTTTGGACTAGGTGATCTCCAGGTTACCTTCAAGTTCTATGATACTAAGTATAATGATTAAGGATGAAGCTGACTAGAATTCACCAAGGTCTAACAAAGTTTAAAATGTGGGAATGCTAAGTCATCAGTGAGGAGACAACTGTGTGTTGATATATTAAAATATCCAGTTTTCTGATGCCTTCTTCCACTCTACAAAATGATGTGTGCCATTTATGCTTAAATTAAAGTGAATAAATTGATCTATCGTTAGCAGACTGTTCTTGAGATTCTCGTCCAACATATTGTGAAACTTAGCTGGACGTTATTCTTTTAATATCTGTAGCTGGATTCTAAGAGAGATTGGGAATGACTTCCGAGAAATTTTTCAACTAGGGCAGGCCTGGTGGGTTGATTACCCCATTTACCTCTTACAGATCAACAAGATCTCTCAAATCTCTTTCAACCCTTGGATTCTTTGGTTTTAGTTTCTACCTTCCACCTTGGAGCCAATGTTTCCATCGTCCAGGCCCACCACTTTGCAAGCTCTACAGCTCTTTCTGCCAAAACCAAATGCTATCTTTTTTCTCCCCCTGGACGATTAACTCCCACAATCTTGGACCAAAATATACATCTAGACGCCAGCAGTGAATGCTTTAGCTCCTCTTCTATCAACATTGTCCCTCTGCCCAGGGCTAAAAAAAAGTCAGAAAGATCAGTGCCAAATAACACTGAGCTTTTCATATTGATTCTCCTTCTTAAAATTAATTTCTTTACCGACTTCTGAATATTTTATTTGTATTGTCTCCTTTTTTTCTTCCTCTTGAGCTCCCTAACTACTTTCTATCTTCTCTAACACTGTAAAGTCAAGGGGCGTGGATTTAAGATTTGTTCTGCTCTGTCCTATTTATTTGCCCAAGTCCTGGAGATTTCTGACTTTCTAAAGGTCAGTGTGTACATTTACAACACAAATACCCAAAATAAAAATACCACAGTATTTGATTTTTATTCACTTTTCGAGGCAACTGTCCAAAACAGGGTCATTTAAAATATCTAAGTCCTCTATGTATATTCACATAGTCACCGCGCCCAGCAAAATCTGCCCCAATTTGTTTTTGACCAGTACAGAAGATTCCCAAAGTATTGTAATTTGTTTTTGTTTTTTTTTTTAAAGATTTATATTTATTTATTTGACAGAGAGAGAAAGAGAGCACAAGCAGGGGGAGCGGCAGGCAGAGGGAGAGGGAGAGGCAGGTTCCTCGATGA